AAAAAATAGTCCTTACTCTCAGGGAACTCACACTGTAATGGGTTATGTAATAGAAAGATCGTCTTGCGAAGAAACAGGAATTTTTCTTATATGATCCTAAGGCAATAGATTTAAAACTGAAAGGAGCCTCAGAGGTGATCTGATCCAAGCCCCTCATTTTACAGGTAAGAAATTTAGGCCTAGAGCTTTTAAATGACTTGCCCAGCAACATACAGCTAGTATCAGTTAGAATGAAAACCCAAGCCTGATAGCTGGATCTGACACTGAGTCCATTGCACTATGCTGATACTCCTTGCTGTTATTAAACTGTTTATAAGATTAAAAATTAACCTATTTTTATAGAAATGATAAAGCTTTTTTTTACAAGCATATGTATTTTGATAACTTACTTAGAAATAATGAAAGACCCCAATTTAACTAAATCTTTTAACCTATTTTACTAACAATAAACCATATCATGAAATCATATAATAATTGATATGAAGCTAAACAAAGCCTTAGATTTTTTTTTTTAATATTAACTGATCACTTTGAGATAGGAAAACTGCGGCTCTAAGACGTTAGGCTACTTAGCAAATGTCACAGAAGCAGTAAGTAGAAGCATTAATCCTAGGCTACTTAGTACTTCTTGTACAATTTTGCACAATGTAGAAAGGTAAATTTGACTAGTGAAGAAATTATCCAGCTGCTTGTCTTCATGATTATCATCTGAAACAACAATATTTGCTCTCAGGATATTGATATCAATGACTGATTTCAAGAATTGATAGTCATGAACTATGGAAGAAAATTTGAATCTATTTTATAAAATTTTAACTATTCATATCATTGGGGGGTTTTAAGCATATTTAACAAGTATTTCATGGAATACTTAAGAGATGTAAGATTAAACATTACACTGATTCTCATTTATATAGTCCATCTGCTGTTTGCCAAGAAGTAGGAAGCATAATTTATCATCTGTCTTCTGGAATAGTAATTGCATTGATCAGAGCTCTTAAGTCTTTTGAAGTTTTGGGTTTTTTGTTTGTACCTTTACAATATTGTACTCATAATATAAATTGTTCTCCTGGTTATATTCACCCCATGCTGCCTTAGTTCATTTAAGTCTTCCTAAGTTTCTCTAAATCTAAAACTTCAATTATTTCTTAGGTCAGAATTATTTCCCATTATATTCATATACCATTGTTTTTTCATTTATTACACATTTGATAGAAATCACTTTATTTTCAGGTCTCTACTGCAATGAAGAGTGCCGCTATAGAGAATTTTGTGCATTTAGGCACATTCCCTCTTTTAAAAGAAATCTCTTTGGGGCTATATATCTAGTGCTGGTATTACTGAGTAAGCAGAATATGTGCAGTTTAGTGACTTCGTATATAGTTTCAAATTGATTTCAGAATTGTTGCACCAATTCATAGCTCCACCAAAAGTGCATCAGGGTGTCCACCTTCCCACAGCAATTCCAACAATAGTAGGATCTTTATTTTGCCATTTTTGCAAACTATGCAATGATTGAGTTAATTACCCTTTGAATATATGATGTAATTTACTTGTGAATCCATCTGGTCCTGAGGTTTTTATCCTTGGAAATTCCTTTAAGACTTGTTCATTATCTTTTTATGAGATTAGGTTATTCAAATTATTTTGTTGTTCTCTTAATAGGGATATTGAGTATTTTTATAAATATTCATCCATTTTATTTTTTTTAAATCATCTGGGGGCATATAATTGGTAAAATAATTTCTGATAATTTCTTTTTTTTGGCAAATTCTCTTGTTCTTTTTTTAAATTTTGGAAACTGATTTTCCTCTCTCTTTTTAAAAATCAAATCAATGGCTTGTCTAACAATTTTTTTTCTGTTTGTTTCCAGGTTTGTTTATTATTTCTTTGTTGTTGTTCTTGTTTTTCAGAATCTCTCTTCATGCTTGGTTCTGTTTTTATTTTTCTTTCTTTTTTTTTTGCTTTTTTTCTTTTTCTTTTTCTTTTTTAGCTTGTTTAATGACTAATTCACTGATCTGCCTGTTTTTTCTTTCAGTGAAGAGAAAAATTTTCTCCTAAGATCTGTTTTATTATGTTGTCTAGTTGTCATTTGCTCTGATGAAATTATCTATTGTTGCTATGATTTGTGCTTGACCTACTTTTTTTAGGATTAAATTATTTAGTTTCCATTTAAGTTTAGATCTGTCAAGTATACAAAAACTCAAATCAGCTAGGTGGTCAGCATAATAATAGTGAGCCATTTTATTCAGGGTCAAGGAATTGCAATGAGGGCACTGCATTATCTTGCTCAGACAGAGATGCCCAGAGAGGGGAATTACAGAGGTTATATACACACAAGAAGGGGGTGGCTAGATAGAAAGATGGAACAGTGGGTCACAAATAATTTATAGCAGAGTGATAGCACCTTCCTGGAAAAACCACAGGATTGGTTTAAGCTGCCTCTAGGTAGCAGAGACAGGCAACTGACTGGTCCTCAAGTTTGGGTCAACAAAATAAAGAACTGCAGGAAAGGAGGGGTTGCAGAAGTGTCCTTGACATTATCTCTGTCTAGGAGCAGGTAGAAACTTCTGGTCTAAGCAGAGTTTCTCAGGAGTTTACCTTAGGAATAGTGACCAGTGATGGAGAGAGGAGAATGAAAGAGGTTTACTGTTAGTAAGAACAGGGTAGGGGCCCAGAATTTCCCAGGGGTTGATATTCCTCCCTTTTGGTCAAGATGGACCAAAAATTTGCCCTAGACTGATGAGAGGCTTTGGGTCAATTCCAGGCACTGCTGAATCATGGCAGTGTCAGTAACAGGGATCCCAGTATGAGTAGGGACATGTAGGCAACATTTAATTCCTCTCAAAAGAGTAAGATGCATACAAGGATAGCAAGGAGTCCCTGAAAAGATGGGATAGATAACATCCTTAAGGCCAAAAAGACTACCAGGGGTGGGAAGAATCAAACTCAACCTCACCATGAAAAGAAACCTCTGAGCCAGGAATGTCAAAAGTCAAATCTTTCTACCAAGGAATTATGGGTTAGAAATGACCGGCATCCAATGTCTATTTAATCAGCACATTTTATCTTTAATCTCAGATGTCCTTTGTAACCATCTGGTCTTCTGGAAAGATCTTCCCTGGGGTCAGCTCTTAAGTGGACTACTGTTTAGTGGATTGGCTTCTCTGGTTCAATATCATTTGTAGCTCCTTAGATGTTCTTGCTAAAATCTTTTACAAAACTTAGATCTCAACACAATTTAGTACAACCTCTTAAACATTTCTTTTCCAATAACTGGATCATGTGGTGGCAACTAGTTCAAACCTTGTGGTTCTGATCTTATTAACAATGGAGCCAAATTGAGAACTCATAGTTCACTTGAAACTTTAGAGAATTTCAGTTCTTAAATATCCCTTGCTATTTCTGTCGTTTTCTAAATCCTGTGCTTGATATAAACATTGTCATCAACAGGCTGAAGGATCTTAAAAATCTGTGAGAATCTGACTTGAAAATGGGCCCAGAGTTTCTCAGGGTTTGACAGATCCTTTCTTTAAAAGCTCTATATTGGTTATAATTTTTATTGTGTTGTTCTAAATAAAAGATTCTTAACTTTTCTGCTTTTCTGCATTTGTTTAAGAGGTTATATCCTAGCATGCAGTCAATTTTTGTTAAGTCTTATATGCTGACATATATCTGTGTTAGTATATATATATATATATATATATATATATATATATATATTTACATATACATATATACACATATATGAATATATACATACATTTGTGCACATGTGTATATACTTATGTATATGCTTATATACATCTATGTATATACTCCAATGTCTGTGTGTATTTATATTGTTTCCAAAAATCTTAGTGCAATTTTAAGCTATTAAGCTCTATTTAAATTTCTGTTCAGTAAGCTCTAAAGATCTATAATATCTACCTTTTTAAATAATCTATTTAAACCTTTAACTTATTTCTTGTTTATCTTTTGTTAAATTAATCTAGGTGTTCAAAACGGACATTGAAGTTCCTAACTATTATTGTTTTACTATCTATTTCTTCTTGTATTTGGTTAACTTTTTCTTTAAGCATTTAAGTGCTATGACTTCAGTTAATATACATATTAAATATCAGTATTAACCCATTATCTATGGTACCTTTGAGAATAATGTAATTTTCCTGCACTTTTCTTTTTAACCATATCTGTGTTTACTGTTGCTTTGCCTGAAATTGTGATTATCACTCTCTACTTTAAAAACTTTACTTGATGCATAATAAATCCCTTATTTTAACTCAGTAGTCATCATTTTTAAAATTTGGGATGAAGGTGTGTTCAGGGAGGACTAGCACCTTTGATGTGAGGGCTTGCTGAGACCTTTTCAGGGCTGCTCATCTACCTTTGGTATCTACCTCTCCCCCAAATCTCACCAGTGGTTCCAAGAAGCTATAGCATATACATAGTGGCCACGTTCTGGTAAAACCATCTTGGGCAGATGGGCTAAACCTGGTTGAGTGTATCCAACAGGAAACCTGTCAATGAGTTAGAGGAATGTTTACCCCAATCATGTGAAGACTTTTCCCAGTGCAATGGATAGATCAGAACGATTTGTACTAGTGGACATGAAAGTGGCTGAAGCAGGCTCTGTGGAGCATTAGAGCTTGGTCAGGCATCAAAGATGCCAAGGTCATCCACTGTATCGTGGACCATCACCAGTCATCTTCAGTTTTGTCCTGCCATTGGATTTTGATGACTCAGGAAGAGAGAATGCAAGTGACAACTTTGTGTAATTCGGCCTCACTTAAATCCAATTCATGCAAAAACCAAGACATCACCCATAATGGCATCGATCCTCTTCAAAAAAGGACAAACAACATATTTTTTTGTAAAGAATATATTATTAAATACTACATCCTAATATATTCTGTTACCCTCCTCAGTTTCATAGGTGAGTTCATGCTATTATTCTATTCATGTTCATAGTTATTTGTTAATTGTGTATTTTCTTCCAGTTTCTTTTATTCACTAAGGCCCTCCCCCTTCACATAGAAGATGAAATAGAAGCAGTGTGATCAGCAATAGTAAGTTCTAACTGAAGTGATCTCAGGTATCTGCTCCCCTCAATCCACTTCAACGAGACTAGGATCTGATCATTGTTTCTTACACTTTCTCTTTTAATGTATGCTCTAACTTATGTCCTACCCACTGAAGTTTTAGTCTATTACTTTAGACCTTTGCCCCTCTGATTCTGCCGTCTTCTTAAATGCTGCTCTCCCTTCTCCCTAAGCCTGCCTGTTTCCTTACTGAATTTAATGTATTTCTATATCTGTGAACTACTTTCTTATTGATAACTTCCATATTTGATTGTCTATTTTGTCACTTGGGGTTGAAGTAGAGTAGAAGGAACATATGGATGATCTCAACAGAAATCACATAAATCTCAAATTAAAAATGCCATTATTTCATCATGCTTGATTTATCACCCGTTCTTGTAAGTGCTTTGTTATTGTTAACTATGTAATCCTGTGAATTAGTTCAGGATGAGATTTTATCTCTGCTTTATAGAAATCAAAACTTGGGATAAAAGTAAGCAATCATTTACTTAGCATTGCTCACTGGGGACCAAGACTATAATTTGTCTTTCTAATTCAAATCTATAGTTCCTCTTATGGGACATATGATAGCTAGGCCTTTGCAACTTGTTTGCTTAACCCTTGACATAAATATCCATCAAAGAAGTCTGGCTGGGGGAAACAACATGAGAATGAGTTTATGCATGTGTGTAGATAACTATGTATATATATGCATATATATATATGTATATATATATATATATACATACACACATGACTGTGTATATGTAACCATACCTATATACACTGCATGCATGTATACACATGCACAATGACACACACATTTCCCTTGATGGTAGGGACTATTTTTCTTTTGCCTTCCTTTCCCCAACTCCCAGCATTTTTTTGTATGTAGTAGTTGCTTAATAAATATTAGTTGATTGAATAGTTTACTATTACTTTCTGCTGCCAGCTTCATATCTTCCTTGCTACCTGCAAGTCATATCACCTCCAGTCTTCTATGATATAATAAAAGGCTCAATAAACCTGGCCTTGATAAGGATGGCCTTCCTGCTCTTTAGTCATGGTCTTCACATCAAAGGACTAAAAAAAGCCAATAATAATGCCATAAGGCTAAAATTTAAGGTTTTTCTTTTTCCATTTGCCCTCCATTTCTGGGGCAGAAATTGTAGTCCTCTGTCTTGGAAAACTATCTCATTTGCTAGAAATGCCCAAGAGTGTCTTTGTCAGCATGTGAATGACTATAAGCTAGAACAAAAGGTGAGCTAAGGAGGCAAGGTTGTTATTCTCCACCCACTCATTCCACATGTTCAGTGGCTGCTTGGGTGCTTTATTTCAGCTGGCAAACTATCTTGCTGTTTACTTCTACATGGAGCTTTTTTTTTTAAGTGAATAACAATAAAGAAGAATACAACATTTGCGACCGGATAGTATAGCCTCATTTCAATTTAAGTTACAAAACTCATATCCCTTCTTTGGGAAAAAAAAAAAAAAAACTCTTGCCTTTACAGGCATGTACAAGAAAAGTACAATTATTTCTTCATATGAGCATTAACTGTGAGCAAGTAAAAGTTCACATTAAACCAGAATTTTTTAAGGCCTATCACATATTTAAAGTATATAATTTTAAAAAGGATGTTCTTAGAGGATTTTGTGTTTCTCAGTCTCATAGGAAGCCACCACGGGTAAGCATACAGTACCTTAAAAAAAAGGACATTAACAATTCTAAATTTATTGAAGCTCTTCTAGCATATCACAAAGGGTTTTTCTATCATATTGACAACTGTTTTTATTTTTTGGCAGATTTTAATGGATCTATAGCCAGAAAAAAATGTTACTACAATGTATGAGCTCACCCACAGCCTCTTCTAAAGCTGAAAGTAACTGTCAGTTGTAAGAATAGCAGAGGAAGATTTAACACCTCATCAAAATATCAGCAAAGAACTTTACTTAGGGACTTAAAAGCTTAATATAGAAAGCCAGAGAGAGAGAGAGAGAGAGAGAGTTAAAATGTGGGAGAAGACTGAATCTTGCATTCTACTCAGGAGCTTTCTCATCTGGGTTGCAAAGCAATGAAATCTTGGAAATTGGAGCAATATTTCATAATGCTCATAATCCATAAACAACAAATGGTTATCCATAAATAACAATAGGTCACTGTACCTACATGGGCCTCAATTTCCCTATCTGGAAAATGGAATTGAATTATATGGCCTCTGAGGCCTCTTCCAGCTTTAGGCCTATGAACCTATGGTCCTAACTGCATGATAAAGCTAAAGGGACAACTATTCACATACATAGATGTGACTTGTACATACATATACATACATATTATTATTCAGTCGTTTTTCAGTCGTGTCCAATTCTTTATGAGCCCATTTTTTGGGGTTTTCTTGCAAAGATACTAGAGTGGTTTACTATTTCCTTCTCCAGTTCATTTTCCCAATGAGGAAACTGAGGTAAACAGGGTTAAGTGACTTGCCTAGGGTCACACAGTTAGTAAGTATCAGAGGCAAGATTTGAACTCAGAGAGTTGACTGCAGGGCCAGTTTGCTATCTACTGCACCACCTAGTGTGTCGTATTTGACTAAAGGGTAATGGAAGGATAGAAGAGGCAATGAGTTGTAATAAAATGCCAGGTTTGGAGTCAGAGAGAGGATCTGAGTACAGATCCTGTCCTACTACTTACTACCTGACTTTGATCTTTCTACTTAACTTCTCTAGACCTCAGTTTCCTCTTCTTAAAAGCAAGGAGATGACCCAGAGGAATCCTCAGGCTCTTCCAGTTTCACACCTGTAATTGTGTGAAGAAGGGTTCACAGTCTGAACACTGGACAGAATGCTGATCCTGGAGTCAGAAAGACCTGCCACAAGCTATGTGACCCTGGACAAATCATTTAACCTCTCTGAGACTCAGTTTTTTCAAATATAAGATGGGGGCAATGCTAACATCTCCCAAACAGGATTATTGTGAAGCTGAGACGAAAATGTATTAGAAGTAGTTTGCAAAGCTTAAAGAGCTATTGAAATGTCATTTATCATCATCCTTACTTTAGTGGCATAGTGCATATAATGTTGGACCTGGAGTTAGGGACACTTGAAATCAAATCCTGTCTCAGATATTTATTCAGACATTTACAATTACACATTATTTTGAAAGAAAAATCCTACCATCAGTATCATACTAAAGATTTATACATTTGTTCATCCATTCCAAAGTGGCATTAGGTGGAACTTGATGGTAAAGTGTTAATAATATTATTGTAAAATAGTTATGGATTGTATATTTGTGGTATGAAGTAGCAAAATATGTTCGAGTAATAAAAATAACGTCACAGTAATGTGGATTGTACCTGTGATTTCATTGTTATAAGGAACTCCCAGGTATGGAAATTTTCTCCACCGATTTAGGTCACCATATTCTCTACAACATATAATCCTAGAGAGTTGCTTAGCATTAAAGTGTTAAGTGATTTATCCACAGTCAAATAGCCAGTGTATGTCAGAGGCAAACCTTGAACCCAGGTCTTCCTGGCTACCTGCCCAGATCTCTTATGCCATACTGCCTCTCTGGTACTATGTGAGTAGCATTCTTTAAATCTTGAGATGACCACAAATTAAGCTAGTACACTGGAGGAAGTCAAAACAACTGATAAAATAGAGAAATACAGTTATAAGAAATAATCAGAATTGGATTTAATTGAAATATGTATCTTTTTATTTTATTTTTAATAATATTTTATTTTACCTCAATTACATGTAAAAACAATTTTTAAAATTTTTAAAAAGTTTTGAATATGTGTCTTACAAGTAATTTAGGCAAATGTTAAGTTGAAAATATGGATACATACAAATGGAATTAGTTGTATTCAAGCCAATAGAATCATTTGGGAGCTTAGAGTAGGAAGGGATCTATCTCAGTATGAATAAATCCAATCCCTATTTGAGCAGGAATGATTTCTACAATACCGATTGCAGAAAGTAATCTGGCCTCTGATTGTCTCCTCAAGTGATGGGGACCTCAGTACTTTCTGTGACAAGCTATTCCACTTTGGGTCAACTTTAATTATCAAGAAAATAATAAATCCTTATATTGAGCCAAAATCTTTTAAAAATAAATCAATGAGCATTTGTTAAGTTCCTGCTATGTGCCACATCTTGATCTAAGAGGTTATTTTTGCCATTTCCAGCCTCTGGAACAGAAGTGTGCTGGTAAATGCTTACCAACTAGTTCTTCAGGGGAAAAATGTACTCGAGACATATTCTTAAATTTAGTCAGCATAGTTAGTATTTTCTTCATCTCTTTCCTAATTCTAGACATTCAACAAAACAATGAATCAAGCCCTGATTTGTAATGTTTGCCAGTTCCCAAGGTATAAATGCTCATGCTGAAAATTTAATAATCACCTCTTACAAGCATAAGGACTAGATCTAGCACACCTCTGTGAGTCTGTAGCCAAGCATAATTCCTTTTAAATGTGATAGCTTTTCAAAAGCTTGAAGACAAAAATCATGTCTTCTGTAAGTCTTCACTTTTGTCTTTACATCCAGTGTCCACATGGCATAGTTACATGTCTCTTCACTGTCTATTTTCCTTCTTCTGGACTTGTTACAACTCGACAGTGTCCTTTCTAAAATGTGATATCCAGAATTGAACCCAATACTTTGAACGTGGTTTGATCACCTGGAGGGCATCTAGATCAAAGGAATTACAATGATGAGAAGACTAGCTGCCATGTCCTATAAAGATTTATTAAAAGCACAGTAGACTTTCACTTGGATAAGAGATTTGAGGCAAAGGTGGGGGGCAGGGGGAATGATGACTGCTTTCTTCAAATATTCAAAGATCTTTCACATTGTAAAAGGATTAAACTTCTTTTGTCCTTTGCAGAACTAGGAACAATGATGAAGAAGTTGTAGAGAAGTAGATTTTGGTTGGATAGGAAGACAAAACATTCTAAGAAGTAGGACTTTCTAAAATGGAATAAACTGTTTTTGGAGACTGTCACATTAAAATAAATTAAATTGGAATGGAGCCAAGATGCTGAGAAAAAGCAGGGACTCATCTGAGTTTTCCCCAAAACCCCTCTTGAACACCTTTAAATAATGCCATAAAACAATTCCTGGAACAGGAGAATCTACAAAAGGACTGGGTAAAATAATTTTATAGCCAAAAACAACTTAGAAGGTGGGCAGGAAAGGTCTCTCACACTTGGGTAAGAGTAGAGCACAGTCCAGCACAGGCCACACCATCACATGCCCAGTCCCAGCAAACCAGGAATAGGCCTTAAAAGCCGCTGAAATAGCAGTGGCGGTAGCTGCTTCCAGACCTCTCAGCTCACAAATGGTAAGGGGATTGAACAAATGGTCAAAAGAAGATTACAGGGGGGTCTCTTTGCTAGCACTGAGGCAGTACTCTGTTGTTTTGCCTGTACTCAGATCTGTGTCACAGTCCTGTGTGGTAGTCCCAGGGCAAGGAGGAGCAATGTTGCAACCAGTCCAGAAATAACTCCCTGAGGAACACATTTCTGGGATTCTGGCTCAGCAGAAACAAGCTGAGATGCTGCTCTTGGACATATATTTGGTGGGACTAACACCATGTGAAAACTGAGCTAGATTGTGAGTTTAATACACTACCAAACACTGAGGTAGTGTGGAGGGGATTATGCCTCTGAAGTGTTGGGGGGAAATGCATGCTTGTTCTTCCTGTTTCTGTGAAATAAACCCCCCTTTTCTAAAAGCCAATTGTTATTAAATGGAACTGGGGATTCTATTCACTAGTTCCCTAAAATGAGAATAACACACTCAGTCAGGGCAGGATTCCTTGCCAGAATAAAAAAGATACAGCAAACCCCTTAGGTTATCTGAGCACCCTGAAGGGAAACATTTAATAGGTCTGGTCCTCAGAGAGTAGGAAACAAGCCTGCATGTTACATTATTTACCACAATAACTGTTATGACCCCAACTTGTTTCCTTAGATCTGTAAATTAAACTGTATATTCTTCAAATTTTGTGAATTATGTGCTTGCAAAGAAGAATTGATAATGAATGGTACCTTGGGCAATTTCACATGGGAAAGTTTCTAGATTGTCTGAGTGATGGCAACATACTAGAGAATGAGGACATCTCCCAAACTATATCCGGGCCCTTTGTGTTGTGTTCGTGCCTCTGATACAAGGGTTGCAGATGCAACTACAGAGATAACTGTGTTCAAGGATCCTGAGCATCAGCATCAAGGGAGGCATAAAACAGAAAGCCATATGCTTACTGAAGGTGTTTGACGGTGTCATGGAGGCCGTCCCGTGAAAAGTCCAGATAGAAGCAGGATTGTTTACGCATGCTGAAATTCTCCAGATGCTCTTGTTTGTTCAGGAGATACTGTGGATTTCATTGAACCTCAAAATATTGGAGATCTTCCCTGAGGTCAGTGCTTCCACAAATGAGATCAGCCCTTTCATTCAAACAAGATAAAAAAAAGTGAATGAAATATGTATATGGCCCAGATTATTACTTGCAGTTGGATGGGCAGGCTGATGAATATCACATATATATGTATGTTGTGTGCGTGTGTTTGTGTATATGTGTATATATGCGCACTGACATATATGTGCATACATACACACATATACATATAAATATATTTGTGTGTATATACATATGTATGTGTGTGTACATATATATGTATATATGTGTATATATATGTGTGTGTGTGTATATATATATATATATATATGTATGTATGTATAAAAGAAGGACTGACAGTGGAAAATGAACTGGGTTGGAAATTGAATAGGAAAAAGAGTTAAACTGCCTATGGGAAATTGTACAAGATATCCAAAGACAATAATTACAAGTTGTTACCTACTACAAAACTCCATTGCTGTAAAGCTAATTTTCTCCTTTGCCTGTATATGAACCATGGAATGTTAGAGGGATATGAATTTCAGGTGATCAATGCAAATGCCATGGAAAGATACATGACTGGATCCAGTGATGCTGCTACTAGGTCCATATTCCAAAGAGGTCAAAGAAAGAAGAGAAGAACTCATATGTACAGAAAATATTTATAGCAGTTCTTTTTGTGGTGGTAAAGAATTGGAAGCTGAGAAGGTGACTATCAACTGTGGAATGGTTAAACAAGTTACGGTATATGAATGTAATGGAATACTGTTTTATTGTAACAAATGATGAAAGGGATAGCCTCAGAGAAACCTGGAAGAATTTGTATGGATTGATGCAAAGTGAAGTGAACAGAACTAAGAGAACAATTTTTATGATAAAAACAACCTTATAAAGACATATGCATAAACAAACACACATATACATATAAGCATGCACTTGAGTGTGTGTGCATGCATACGTATATATATCTCTCTCTCTGTTTCTAGAAAATATGGGAATTTGTTTTGCTTAAATGTACATATTTGTTATGTGTTTTTTTCTTGTGTTTTCAATGGGGTTGGGGTAAGGGAAGAGGGAGGAAGAGAATTCAGAGCTGAAAATAAAATAATATTGATTTTTAAAAAAAGATGCATGACAGGTGCTAAGGTGGCTCCAATATATTTTCACCAATGATTTGGGTTGGTGAATCAGTTTAAAAGACATTCTGGAGGATAGGAATGAAAGGGAAATGAGAAAATTGGCTCATGCAGTCAGTGTAAGAGATAAAAGATAGACAGCCTTCATGTTGCATTGGTGTCTTTTAAGTTTCCATTGAAGGTCTCGAGAACACTGGTTACTTCATCTATGGAGGATTTATGATACATGAGCAAGAATTACTCAGGAGGAGAGGGTGAGGACGCATTGTAGTGTACACTGCTGGAGAGAGCACAATTTCATTGATTCAAAAATCACAGATCCATAGCTAGATGTGCATAAGAAAACTTCAAGTCACCAAGGGAAAAGAAATCATATTCTTACACATGACCTATCACAAACTATATTTTATCAAAGGTGAGAAAAAGTTATTTATCAAATGCACAGATGATAAATGAATAGATTGTAGTACTTCCATAGCATTTTCAGAGGAAATGAAATCCTAAGGAATTATTCCAGGAAATTATTTGGAGTTAACACATCTTCCCAAATTGTTTCCTAAAAAGCAGAAATCTTAAAGCACCTCCTTTTAGGGGTATAGCTACATTTGTGATCCTTTGGGAGAACAGCACTTATTCCAACAAATTCTTGATGGTTTTGGACTGATTGATACTACAATTTTCTTAGTTAATATATTATTACTGTGTAGCCTGCTGATAAGACACATAGTGTTGTATTGTCTGAATGCTATCTTGTATAACTAGGCAGGTGCTCGAGGGAAGAGTCATTTGAATAATTGAAGCCTCTCACTGGAAGGTTGG